AACACATTGTCTTATTCTTGATATTAACATCACCTAAATGGTCGACCAACTGGAAAGAATCGTTCACAGAATATATTATATAAACGTGTTCTAACAGGATCCAGTAATTTAGCTCGGTTATGTGTAGGTGATCGACGCACTGATAAAATTGGGCGTAAACAAATGTTTGGTTTGTGAATTTTACGTATGTAAATGACCATACTCAGAACCAATAGGTTTCAGGAAATTAAATTCCTCTCTACCAAAAATATTCATGTGTAGCAGTTTCACTATGTTTGGATTTATTCTTCCCTTTACTTTGCTAATACCTGCAAATTCACCATCAGGCATAAATTTACTTTCATCACTGAGAATGGATAATGTCTTACTTTTACATTCACATTTGTTCTTGACAATCACACCGGATCTTTTATTAGGCTTTAACAAGACAATATCAGGGTTTGTTCGTACTTATTTTAGTGATTTAAAATACTGAATAGTTAATATGCTTCTCTGCTTTGGTCCACGATTAAGTAATTGGTGGGCTATATCCAACAGTTTACATTGGTCTCAGCTTTGATTATTTAAAGACGTAAGGGTTAGCGTACTCAGTTCATCCAGTATCCGACACTGGATATCAATTAGTCAAGTAAGAACAGGTGAAATCCCACATCTACATAAAAACTAATTCATGCCCTCTGCTAAACCAACAAATTCGAACGTGACAAGGATATACATTCATGAAATATATATTCATCATTGAATATTTCGTCTTCATTCACCTTTATTACCAACATGGTTGTCTGTGGATTGGAAATTATATAACGAATTATCAGCATTAATCTGATGAAGCTTCGGGCAGTGGAGGTGAGCGATGCGGAAGCACTAATCAACATGCAGACCTACTACACTTATCTCAATCACATTGTCTGACATGCCTTGATCCAGCAGACTTTGAAAGTAAAATTCTTTTTTATAGTTAACTATAGAAAACATAGACGAGACTTTGATAACTAGTTTCGGAACTATGCAAATTGTCAACAAGCGAGTGTTATATTACAGAGCCAGTAAGAACATGTACGAGTAAACAATTATGTGATTTTTTTCTACAATATCAACTCTATACTCAAGGTATCCACTTTAAATTTCCAAACAGAATGATCTGACGGTTGTCAAGTAGTTGAACCGGTTACTGCCTTAACTGGAATAACCGGGGTTTCGTCTAGGTTTTCGTTGCGTTTTTCTGTAAATGCCTTCATCACCAGTTGTAACCCGTTTAATCAGCATTCACTAAAAGTCACAGCATATCTACGCAGAGTTCCAATGTTCGATCGCTTTGACTACCTCGTACCCTAAGAAGAGCTACAGCCAATGGCTTTGCGGCAAGTAACACACTTGTGCGAAATTGGAGAATCCTAGACGACTGTTTTCCCATACCCGTAGACACCCAGCAGGTGACGATCCAGTTCTTATCACGTGACCAGAAAGCAAGCGAGAATCCGATCGACTACCTTAATTTTTTGCAGCAAATAGCGGTGCAGGCATTTTCTCGTCTAGATATCGTTGGACGAGAGGAATTAATACTCCCGCATTTCGTCGAGGGGCTGGTGCCGATTCTATTAAGTGAACACTTTCTCCGAGGCCCATTAGTTGATACAGCTGACTTGAAAAGAACAGCACTCCGTTTCCTGGCTGAAGACAAACTAGCGAATTCATGAGATGCACATCTAACATCGATGATGATTATGGAGCAAGTCACAGAATCTTGTTACCTGGACAGTTCCCAGAGGGCAACGGCTGTTACGAACTTTTCTAGCCGGAGTACCAGTCGCGGACAGTCAAGCTCGAGGTGCAGTAGACGGCCATCATGGAACAACTACCATGGCCGTCAAGCTCAGTGCATATACTGCAAGAGGTTTGGCAGGAATGCTGAGAGATGCGGCCATAACCGTTTCCATAACCCAGATAAGCCGTCTTTATTATTTTTTTTCTTATGTTGATCATGTCTGCTCGATTACGGTTAGAGGTAGAGTGCAAGGCGTTGAGTTAGAAATAGTACTAGACACGGGAGCTTCGTTATCTCTTATTAAGGAAGAGCTATCGAGGAAACTGAACCATAAAACTCAACAAAATCGGTGTCTCTCTACGTTAATCACAGCATGTGGTGATCCTTTGAAACTGTGCTCTAAGGTGTGGTTAGACCTCACGATAGAAAAGCAGTTTCGGCACGAATTCTTAGTTTCTCCTGCATTAACTTGAGACATGATTCTAGGCGTTGGTTTCATGTTAAAACACAAAGTCTCTATATTCATGGATAGGTCAGAAGCAAAAATTGGTGAGGCTATGGTACACTTGCACCACTATGAAATGCCAACTAAGTCTATAGCCCATGTGGGGATTTCAGAACTTGTACGTCAAGTACATAGCAATCAAATAATAACAGAAAATGATCACCGCGCAACGGTTGCTGTGTTTCAGCAGTTTAGTTCTGTATTTGAAGAAAGTATTTCAGGAAATCGGACGACTACAGTGCAACACATTCTTCACAGGTGACCATATGCCACTTCAACAGTCACCTCGTCAGGTACCAGTGCACTACCAACCACAACTGGATGAAATGATAAGAGATATGTCAGACAAAAACATTATAGTCCCTTCATCCTCTCCCTGAGCGTCACCTATTGTTCTAGTGAAAAAAGACTCCTCTCTATGACTCTGTGTAGCTTATCAACGCCTTAATGCCGTAACTAAACGTAATCCCTTTCCGCTTCCGTGGATCGATGCTACATTAGACACCTTAAAAGGCGCAAGTTGGCTTTCGACTTTGAACCTAACATCTGAGTACTGGCAAGTGGAATTCCGACAGCAAGAGAGGAGGAAAGCGGCATTTATAGTACCAAAGGGTTTATATGGATTTCAAGTGATGCCTTTTTGTTTAACGAGTGCTCCGGCTACTTTTCAGTGACTAATGCAAACAGTTTTACAAGACAGTACCCCAGAAATGTTCGATATATCTTGATGGCATTATTGTGTATGCTATCACACCCGGACAACACAATACTAATCAGAAAGCAGTTCTTCAGTGCCTAAACAAAAATTTAAAAACCGCCACTGTTTTATTGTTGTGATTTGTTGCATATCGTTCTCCACCGTTCAGTGACTGCCGATTATACGTGTTACAACTGTTTAATAGGGCGATCACTGATTCTGGTCTCTTAAGAAGAAATATCCTTCCACGGTGTGAGCAACCAGAAAGTGATAACCGCCCGTCAGCACTCGAGATCATCCTGTTGCCGATCGAATTTCTCCCTCACCTCTTAATATTTCTTCCATCCCCACAATTAACCCTTATTTATCTTTGCCACCACGCGCCACCTATGCTAATGATTTGAGTTTACGAAATTTTATTCCTGGTTTCCTGAAACCACGCTCCAAACTATATATTGGAGCTTTTGATGTTCGAATCTTGTGTCAAATTGGAGAACAGGTTTCTTCAGTTAGGATTGTAGAATCCCGCACCATCGATTTATTCTGCATCTTCGAAACGCGCATACAGGCTCCAAGTGCGGTCATTCATTTAACTTTATCTTGTCGACACAAAGAACCGGCACGACTTACTCTTTTAGTATCTGAAGACCCCACTGCTACTTCCAGGGCTTCGCTGTTGCAGGTATAGCGTTAAGTTCTAAAGTAGAACAGTTTTTGTTAGACTGGATTTCAATAGATAATCGCTTGTGCTCTGTTCGAATGAACGGAACAGTAAGAACTCGAAAAGGTAGGTTCACACACCGCTGCCTTTTCGTTGTTTCTGCCTACCCTTCCACTGATTGCAGCTCGAATGAAGTTAAGGGAAGCTATCCAACCTCCCTCAAAGAGCTAAACACTCTGGTTCAGCAACAATGGCAGGTGATTTTAATGCTCAGGTAAGTAAACTCAACAAACCGAAAGGCACTTGGGCAGATTTTACGGTGTTGCGGCTCAGAGAACAGATAATGGCAACCGTCTGTTGCAATTATGCTAAGATAATCGTCTACTTCTGGCAAACACCAACTTTAAGCATAAGGAGAAACGTCGTTTGACGTGGCGACCTCCGCGATCGACTCAAGTAGATCACATTGCCATTAGCCATCGTTGGAGTGGCTCGATTGAAGAGTCTCATTCTGGAGCACATGTTTAGACTCGGATCATGCCCTAGTTTGAGTACGTATTTGTCTGTATCTCACTGGACGTTGAAAAGTCAGGAAGAAAACTCCTTATAGTTCAACTAAATGATGGGGAAATTAAGATTTATTTCAGGAACCACTAGAGGAGTTGTTCAACCGTGAAAATGGTATCCAACCTGATGTAGCTTGGTGTGATATCCAAAAGCAGCGATACCTACTAGTAACCTAAACCAAGCCCCCAAATGCCCTGGTACGGCCGAGAGTGGGGAGAGTCCGCTCTCCCTCTCGAAATGCTCTCACATGACCACGCGTATATAGCCTCTCCCAGGGAAGTCCTACTCACTGCCTTCTCGTGGCGGGGGTGTTGTTTACAAAAATGAGAGGACGAAAAGCGAATGTCCGGCGATTTAACCGGATTCCAAACCAATGACGCACATGGGCTCCAGTATCCTGCGGGAACAAATGGCGTATGAACCAATTGTTGGTGACCGGCTTCCATGGGACTGCATCTCCTTACGATGCTTCACTGCCTTGTGGATCAGACCTTCAGGTCGATGGCTCGGGGTGTGGCCCCCTAAGAAAACCACCTGCTTCGGTTTGGGCACCCGGGCAGTATCACAGCCCTCACACACATATCGAATGAAATTTGTGTGGCGCACATGTATTTGGTGCCTCTTTGTACCATTATCTATGTGTTGAAATAAATAAAAAAATGAAACCTAAACCAAAGGGTTAAGAAAAATAAGTGGATTTCAGTGGCGTCTACAGAACTGATAGATGCTGACAAACTCATCCTGTCTGGCTCTGAATCACAATTCTGAAGACCAACACATCACAACAAAGAAAAACTGTTAAGCATCAACGATATAATTAATTTATTGCATTAGCAATCAAATTAAAAAATAGTTAAATCATAAAAATACATAAGGAGCAAAATAAATTTTGAGTAAAAAGCAAAAGTACCGTAAAAAATAATAACCAAATAAATGAGAAATGAATTTTTCTGGGTAATCGTTACTAATGACAGAAACCTTTTGATTCAACCAATCAGAGAGAGGGGATTCAGAGAAATAATATACACTCTGTAAGATGCTAATTCTAAACAAAAGAGAACGATTATTCAGAATCAATCTCCTCTTTATCACAAATTACTTTATAGGTACCTAAATTAAACAATAAATGTTTGTGAATCTTATTTATCTTATGATTATTATTAGTATCGAGCAGCAAATTTCACTTGTCAAACTGATTAGGTTATCAGGATCATTTATATGGGAAAATAGGGAAAGCTGAATTTTAATCAAATGAAAGATATCAAAAGTAAGAACATAAAATGAGGAGAGCAGTGATGAGACTGGAAGATAAAAACACTAAATTTTATGGTCTCTTGATAGTGTATTTGAACTAGAAAGACTGAAACCATTATGAGAATTGTATTGCTGTTTTCGTATTTTAATGTCATGAGTACTTTAAATACTTTACAGTTTCATAAAACTCAGGTCACAGCTTGTTATTTAGCGATACAAACCTCAATGTGACGTAAAATTACATAATTAGTGGCAAAATAGGCTTCATGGGGTGAAGAAAGTTAATCGGATGATTCGTCACTTGCTTCTTCATTTGGAAAAACATGCTTACTGTTTTGAATATAACGATTAGATTGCGTTAGCAGTGAGGTATCTTCCTGAAGTGATGAACAAGACGAACGTTTATGACGAATCCGGCTATTATGTCCCTTTATCGAAGTGTTGTTAGCACGAGACTCTATATTTTCATGGGTTTTATTCGTACCATTAACGAATGTTGTTCTTTTAGAGTCTGGATTTGGATTATAAACTCCCGGAGTAAATGAGTCACCATTGTCAACGCGTTGTCCAATCATATTTACATAAGCATTGAATTCTTCAGACATCTGAGCATACACTTGATGTCCGGCTCCTTCGATTACCTAAAATATGGGTATTCAGATTACTTCCTGTACCATTGATACCATAATAAAAATCTAACAAAAATAAACGATCATTTTACTAAATAGACGGGTGATTTTGAAACAACATATGTTAAAAGTATTTAGGAGTACAGATGATATAACTGATAAAATTAATTAACTGTGATACCTGAAATGATGCATGAAGTTAGAACGAAGTGACTGAAAAAATCTAGGGATTAAAATTCATTTGTATACTAAAATAGCCACCTACGTTAGATAATAAATAATTTATCAAGGAACAAATCAAAAATTAACTAATACTATTTCGCGTTTGCCTGTTGTAGCGATGATTATGTAAGGGAAAAAACTTATTTGGATGTAACGCAACCTCATCTTAAAAATGTAATCTTCCATCCACATATTAACGAAATTATGGAATTGAAATGATAAGTCTACTATTGTTGAGTATCAATATATATTTTACACATTAAAAAAGTCTACATATAAATTATGCCAATACATTGAAGTAAGTATGACGCTTAGTGCAAGGATGGTCATGGATTTTTCATAGGTCTAAGCAGATACGTTAAAATTTAAACGCTATGAACTGCCTAAGTAAAGATTAATATATATACTTGAATTTTTTTTAAGTATTCCACAAATAATCAGGAAATGTGGATGTACATATTTGTGAAATTCCATCTCATAACTTACAACCATTTACGTAATATATATTTACGACGACAATAATGATTAACTATTGACTAGAAATAATTCAATTTCATAAGACACACCCTAGTCAGTAACAACGAAATGTAGGTCTTGTTTTTTTTAAACAGGACTAGTTACTGTAATTGCTTTATATGCACTTCTATACTTATAGATATGAAGCAAAAATGAGAAATTAAAATACGTCAAAGGCCACATTCGTTAGGGTGTGACACACACCAATTATGAGATATTACTGACAATAAATTACTGAAAATAAATTACAACAATAAATTAGGTAACATTAATTTGATTCAACAGACAAATAACTACTGCTAGTCAGTATGAGCAAGGACTAAACAGAAGCCGTCCAACTTAGAATAAATGAAATGAAAATCTTCATTTAAAGAGACAAGTTTTAAAAGAACTCCAATAAAAGTTTTAATTAAACTATCTGGAGCATCATCATTTAGTGAATGAACACGAAGGTAATAACCATATTTGAATCATAAATTGGATCCTAATCATACAAAATTACCAGTTCAACACTGCTATTTCAGCTACAACATATCATAGCTCAGTCAAGTAAATTTGGTACACTAGAATATTTACACTTTATCAGTCAGATAAATCATTCACAATTCCTGGATCTGTTCATTCATACAACAGATCACTGGAATCAAGAATTCTGGGTTCGGAAATTTTCAAAGTATGCCAACCTAGATTGCATAAAAACATGAATGAATCAAAGTAATGTACATGGAAAAAACTGTAGTTGCAATTAATTGTGCTTAGATAAAAAATACTGCTCTATTATTAGATTTACCTAGTGTTTTTCTGATGAGTTTTATCATCATTAATTATGTAAATAAGAATGATTCCCATTTATCAAATCCAGAAGGTAAAATGCATATAAGTAATGTGAACAAAAACAAATCATATCTAATGGTTTGAATAAAATCTGTTATCATTTACCATAAAGCATAATTCAACTTATCTTCCAAAATATGACTTTATGTATGAATGAAAGGTAAACAAGACCATATGTTCTTTATTTTCAATCGCTTAAAAACCTAGAACACATGTAAGTGATAAGTTGGATTGTCATATCCTAACGGCAACTGAAAGGGTAGAAACTTCTAGAACTAACCCATGGATTATTGTTATATATAATCCTATTGTACAATTGTTGTTTAGAAGATTTACCATTCTTATCTGTTGCCAGTTTGTTATTTACTGCCTTCCCTATTCATAGCCACTTGGCTTGATTATGCATAATTTTTGGTATATTTATATAGAAACTATGTCTTGTTGGAATATAATGCAGTGGAGTCTGGTTACCAACTTCTGAACTCAAGGGCATGGCAGAGAGAGGACTACAGAATGGTAAACCAGTAAGGATCTAACAACTGACCCAAAGTGACTAGTAATGAAAAGACGTGTAATTGATCAACTCAGATACTAAATTATATAAATCAGGATTCTGATTATTGGTTTTTGTCATGTGATATTAGTCAGTAGTCATAAAACATAACATGGATCATTTTTAGAGATCCGAATTGGTATATGCGGAAATAGGTTTCAACTGCACAACTGATGTCATTAACTATGGCAAATACTTCTAGAACCAGAAGTAGTGTACTTTAAGTTATTACGAGTTAGAGCATATGAAGTAAAGATCGGTCTTTCCATCGGGAAAAAATTAGGAAGCGTACAAAAGTCACTAAATGAAACAAAACAACCACTTGGTGCAGTTTAATACGAATTAATAACTAGTTTGTAAAACAAATTATCATCCAAATCTATTGAATAATGGACAGTAGTATTACGCGACGATTCAAACAGCAGCAATCCCACGAGGATTTTAAATTTCGACTACTTGTTTGAAAATTGATCATTCAAGCCAACCAGCCAAAACTCGAGTTATTAAAGTGTTACAAACAAATGGTAACGAATATACTGAAGCTGACAAGATAAATTGTACTAGCTAACAAAATCAATGGAGAAAAATCAATTATCTAGTAGAGTGAACTAGTCATAGTATAATCAAATCCAATATAAATCAGTTCATTAAGGTGTTATGGTGGACTTATCTATCTGACTACATTACTCTACTACGAGACATCAAAGATGTAATAATACTGTTTGTTGACATTGTATTACAGTACTAAAAAACATTACTAAACATCATATTCCCAAAATACATCCTAACACATACACAAACATAGAATGTGCCATTAGGTTTAGTTAATAAACAACTGATAAGTAATCACATATCTTTTTAAAAAATTATTTTTAACCATATTTTTGGAACAAACAATAATGAATGAGGACACCCGTCCTTGTATGTTTTTACAAATACAACACAAATGCATACATATACAATCACGCAGTGTCTGAACAGGGAAAATGAAATGGACCGATATGAAGACATATACACATATATGTAATTTTTTATCAGGAGTTTTGTGGAGATTTTTAGAAATTTCAATAACCGGAATCCTGAGTCAATTGAAGCTAGACCATCACGGAAAACCTGGAAGCACTGGACGACCGTTTCGTCTTAGTATGGGACTCCTCAGCAGTGGGCACCTACGATTCCGCCCCCCCAGTGAGACTCGAACCCAGGACCTATCAATTTCGCGCGCGAGCGCTTAACCATTAGACCACTGAGCCGGCATACAACGGTTTCAATGTCTAACTTTAACCAATCCACGATGTTGCCTCACCGTACTCCATTGTCTTCAGTGAGTTGATATCTCACAACAGACCCAAACGTCATGTGATGGATGACTGACATTCCATTAATAAATACAACAGCAAGACTGCATAGCAAAACTAACCTTTAGTTCAAAAAGTCACTCTAAGACGCATAGTCTTAAATAATGGAGCTACAGAATGTAACAGGAGATAAACTCGGATTACTGTCATGTCGATAGAGCTAACTGAAATAAGCCACCATATAATATGCAAAGAAAAGTTAAAGCTTCTTTGCTGTATGCCTCGATTCAAGTTACTTGGCAAAAGAATAGATTTATAGGCAGAATAGTTTACATAATATATAAGTATTCGATTAGGTATAAGACATGTTTATGCCATAGTGAATATAACCATACTTGATCATCCACTCCTAAAGTGGGTGACAGAAACAAACCGTAATGGGTTATGCTTCTTGTAATATCTCAAATGAAGACTTACATTATGCAGTCTCTCTTTATGGAGTGTGCTTACATGAAATTCCAAAAACACAAATCAGGACTTAAAATTCCTTCAAAACATCACACATGACCTCTTTTGCCACGTCCAAACTAATTACAACCAAGAAAGTACACTTCATATCACTTCCTTACAAAATGTTACGTAACCATAGTTGATCTTTGGGGGGACAACTCAAAGTATTAGTTTCTATTCATTGATCGATTTTCTATTGTTTTAGAATTATTTCGTGAACCAAAAGCGATGTCTCTTCGAAATAGCTTTATTTATTCATAAAACATTTTAACTTTGTCATATAACAAAAGGTGTCGATTACATAGATTCAGTATTATTACACTTATATCACAATGCAATAGTACTTATATATGCTTCTAAGATATTGCTAAACGACGATATTCTGTTTGGGGAAATGATTTAGGGCTCAGGGCACTTGAAATTCGACTTCTGGGGTTGACGATTTAGTCAGTCAGATACAGAGTAGGGCCAGGCACATATATTCATCGGTCCAAGTTGCTATATCTCATTAGCACAACAAGATGGACAACGGATTCATAAAGTTAGTAAATTCAGAGGTGGTAATATATTAAAGAAAGATTACATATAAGGATATAGTACAGGAAGAAGGTTTTGTACTTAGAAAGAAATGTACAAAGCTATTTTAATCTCTTAGTTTAAGAGAAGATAGAGAGTGTATACACGGACGCCATTGTGATCGATTCTGAGCCATGTCACCCACAGTCTCCAACCATTGGATACGATAGTCACGCGGACCCCAACCAAGTAGTCTGTATCTAACAACAGTTGATGAAGCGTTATTTCCATCAGCAGATCTACGATGAAGTTAAAGAAAAATGGAGAAAGTGGACAGCCCTGAAGGACACCACTTGACGTTGCAAAAGTAGATGACAGTTCGCCATAAGCTCTCACTCGACTAGTAGTGTTCGAGTAAAGAGCTTTCACAAGGTTTATATACTTCTGAGGTACGCCTTTCAATGACAGACACTGCCACAGAATCTCGCGATCTACCGAGTCAAATGCTGCTTTTAAGTCAAGAAAGACCACCATCGTCGGACGCCGATAAGTATGCCTATGTCCTAGAACCTGACGAATGGTGAATATGTGTTCGATGCAGCCAGGACCAGATCTGAAGCCAGCTTGGTTTTCTCGTGTTTGCGGTTCACGAGTCTTAGTTAGGCGTCCGATCATTATGGAGGCTAGTATTTTAGATGCTATATTAGTTAAACTAATCCCTCTATGGTTGTCACAAGATGATGTTGACCCTCTCTTATATATTGGGACGATAAGTAACTGTGACCAGTCAGATGGGATAACGTCCAACTACCAGATTTTAGCTAAAATGTTAGTCAACCTAATTGCTAAAATTGGATCACCATCCTTAAAGACCTCTGAAGCTAATCCATCTGGACCAGCTGCCCTTCCTCGTTTCAGATTAACCATAGCCTCTTGAACTTCAGCTAGAGTTGGGGGACCTACTTCAATGTTCCATTCACACTGTCTGAGAATGGAGGGTAGTTGTAGAGTAGCTGAAGGCCAGCTGAACTGTTCTCTAAAATGTCCCGCCCACCGTTCTAAACGTCTGGACTGGGAGCAGATGAGAGTCGTCTTTTCCGAGATGTTCTCACTTACACTTGACTTATTAATTCCAGTTTCTTTTATTAGTCTGTAGAGCTGTCTTGTGTTCCCTATAGCCACCGCCTTTTCCATCTCTTTTGCTTTTTTGCCCATCACTGCTCACGGTCTTTCTTGTTCTGCTCTTGTACTTAGTGCTATGCACTAGAATCGTTGGCTATGGTGACACTTGAGGAGGAAGCCGAAAGAGGATGTTTAGAGATGAAAGTCGATGTAGGAGTAATAATAGGAATTGAAGAGGAAGGTTGATTATGAATACAGTAGTCTTGAGTGCTGTTAGAGGTATAAGGGCGTTCATCACTCCCTCGTCACTACCTCTTCTGGAGGTACCTGAAAAGGAAATTGGATTAGAGGTGGTCATACTGACCTGAGAGCGTGACTGCAGTGCCCAAGGGACAGCTGCTTGAGGTCGGTCACACACGACCTTTGTGTGGATAATTTTCGTGTTAGCTCCGTACTTGTTGAGACCTTACCGCCGTAGACGGATATCCGTGGTATAAGGTGAGGTGTGACATTTTTAGAGTCGGCCTTCCCTAACCCCACCCCTCATTGTGGGAAGGCAGTATCGCTGTCATGCTGGTTGTCTGAAACACCTCACTGCCGTCACCCCTCTGTATAGTCAGCAATACGACTTCGGTCTGTCGCTTTTAGTCTTACCGCTCTTCAACTGACCTGTCGGGCATGGTAGAACCTTGACGTATAGCTCGGTTGGTTCGTCACAATAGGCAAACCCGACCACCACGTCAAGGTAGCATCGACGGTCGATTTACACTTTCATAACCCAGATTAGTTAGTTTTATATCTATCGTACCCTTGATCTGATGAAGACAATTAGGAGAGGATTTCATATGATGCAAGCAATGCGATACAGTCGCTAATTCGTACGTTAAACTCTCATAACCACCATAATTCAGTTGTCTAAGCGCGAAATAACCAAGTGATATCATACGATTATATGAAACTCTCACTAACTAATGTTATAACAACTTAGTTATATTGAATTTCTGTCGGTATTTTAGTATTACGTACCATGTGATGAAGAAAATATAAAAAGGTCTCAAAAATAGTTTATTATAAACAACAATCCAACAAATGAGATCAGTCAGCAAGTTTTTCATGATATAGTTAGTATAGCTTATTTTCTTTTTTAATAGATTTATGCATAGAATAAACTCAACAATTCGAAACAAAATTTGTTAATTAGAGGCTTTTATAAAAGACAACTAATTAGTGTAGGCAGTAGTAGCTACTATAAAAAACTTACTGTTCAATTTTCCTGCCTAACAAAAATTGGATACCAAGATAACCTCAAAGATATTGATATTAAAATAATCTTGGCTTTACATAAAATATTAAGGCATCAAAAACAAGTCAGTATTATTAATATACTGTAGTGGGATTAATTATAGGTTTAAGCAAAGGCATAGTGCTTATGATCGTAGGGTATAATTTGAAATTGTAAATAAGTTAAAAAACTAAAATTTTATTAGGTAAGAATACTGGGATACTTCATCTAATCAGTCACATTGCGCTAGCTTCAGCCGCCTTTTTATGATTCATGGAACAGTGGGAACTCATTTGCAAGCAAAAATGGAATTTGTACTTTGGTGTCTAGTACAACTATGCACTAACATGATTCATTCTAGCTCATAGACAAACTAACAACTCAGACAGCATGTGACTATTGAGTCATTATTACCATCATAATAACCTTACTATTTTCATAGGAAATCGTTTTATATTCATGTCCTGATTCTGCGCTTATGAGCATTGTGTGTATGTCTGTCACTCATTATTTTGTCCAAAGCCTATCTCTTTGTCACATTACACATTATCTATTTTGAGTTATATTAATTCTTGTAATGAGTAGTATGGGCGAGTTGGTACACGTGTCGTCTCCACTTCACTTTGGTTTGCCTGCACATATTATTGCAGTGAAATAAACCGATTCAACAGAATTAGCATTTGGCTTTTTATTATCATCGTACAAACGGGGTAAGGCTACGTGAAGTATACAGAATTAAGCGGAAGCATATTTATTCGTTCGAATTGGAGTCAGATCAAAGAGCCACTAAAATACAAACTGGGTGTTAATGATCAGAGGATAATGTATTTGATCAAACACTTTGGTGTGTGTGTGTGGTCAAGATTATTTGTGAAGGAAAAATGACGAGGTGGCTACCTACCTTTACATCTACGTACGAATTAGGAAGTAATACACGAGTTCTATATCCTGATGATAAATCCATCCATGATCGAGAACCATATATAAAGGTGACAGGAACATTAGGATCGAGTTGACTAATTCTGTCTAACATTGGGCGTTGAGGCCATCCAACTGAACTACATAATGACTTGAATCCTGTTTCACCGCTTATATGAAAATTGTATTATCAATAATAAAAGCAGAATTAGAATGAAATAGCATGATAAGAATGATAAACTGATATAAAAAGTAAATATTACTTCTTATATTTATACTGCTTTTTTGTAAATAACATTCTTATGAGACGAAAATATGACTAGTACACGTTCAATGAAAGGAAAACGAATCAGCTGATAAGAATTCGCCTTGTCTTAGGTTGAAACAATTATTGACATACTCATCAAGACAAAAGATTTCGTGTAAGGAAATGAGTAGAAGGGTTAGCCTTGAGGTGACGATGCCGTCGTTTAGAACTCACCTGGACAAACTCTCTAGTGTCCGCAGGGTTGAATAATGGGAACAAAAAAATAATTCGATAAAACATTATGTGATTTTTCAAGTTCATGCACAACACAATGAACGTAAAATTAGGAAAAATAATAAAACAATCTACTAATATATTACCCATATAAATCTCCAGACAAAAAACTTACTTAAGTAATCACAGAATACGAAATAAATCGCTTTTCGGTTCATTATTATTAACACCACAATTCGTAATATTAATTTTCCCCTAATCCAGAAAAGACCACATCTGACAGTACAAAAGTGGACAATGCATGCATGAAATTACCTTTCAAAAATTGAATCAATATATACGAATTTGAGCAACGAACAACTAGAAGCATGAAACTATCTATGGTAAAAATGTACAAGGGCGAATTATGAAACGTTTAGTTGTTCAGACAAAACTTAGATGTGTGCATGTACAGGATCTTACCACTTCTGACGGTTTTATTTTATCATAAAAAGTCTAACAACTTCTTGAAAACTAACTAGATTGCGGTGAGCCAAGATGTCAACTGATTTGACTTTACTTTTAGAGAAAAACCTGTAATAAGGTCAGCAGCAAGTACAACCCTAATGTGAATGAAACAAACTGTGAGGTTGATGGTGCTTAAGCTAGTAAAATTCAGACACCCATAACTTTATACAGTTTCACTGCACCACCGATTTCGGCAAAATTGTGACCTTTTCCCTGCCAGTGAACACAAATGCGCCTGAAGTGGACCCCCCCCCCAGAAAATTCATCCTTTACAGAATCGCAAGTCACCAGGCCTAAACGAATTTTCTCTTATGATTTTTAATGCGACAGATCTTTTAGTCACGAATACGACAATGTTGTTTGAAAAAGATACGAAACAATGAGTTTTTCATGAAACTTTCGAGTAACTAAAATATCGAGCCTAGGAAGTGGTTAATATAATACATATAAAGGATACAAGTTTGTAATCAGAAGAGTTAAAATATATGGACTTCCATAACTCTAAACAGATAACATAAGAAGCATGAAATCCACTACACAATGCAAAATCCCTCGACATCATTGTGCGATAGGGAGGGCAAAAGTCATTTTTTAGAGATATTATGCCTAATTTTAGTCAATTAAAGACGGACGTTTCCTAAAATTTATTTGATAAGGAAGCGTACATTGACTGCGAGAGGTGCTGTCGTACTGTGGTCATGAAGAAAACAATGTCTCATGTATAAAGGCAGTTGCACTGATGTTCTTCAAAGATGCACGAAAAGAAATTCTAGGATCGGAATCACATGGATTTAGGATCATCAAAGCATCCTTCAAAACAAAGGAGAGGATCACAATTAATGCTATCCAGTGTCATGCGCCCACCAATGATAGCAATGAAGACGATAAATACCAGTTTTATGAGAGGCTACAATAGAGAAATGTCTCGGAAAGGACCTGACCGTCATGATGGGAGATTTAAACGCCAAAATTATAAGGATAACACCGGGTATTAAGATGTCACAAGACATGGACTGTGAGAAAGGGACGGAAATGGTGAGACACTTGCAAATCTATTTGCTTTCAACAAATCAGTATTTCAAACAGCGTGGTTAAATGGGAGGACTACCCAAAACACCATATATGAGGAAATATGACATGCTCACTCATATTATGGGTGAAATTCATTGAACAAAAGTAAACAAAATTCAGAATAACACGAAACGGAAGGAAATACCAAGTAACCACGTAATACACTGAAGCAAGCGAAAAATATAGATTACAGCGACTGATTGGGAACAAACAAGAAACATCAATCACTGAGGCCAAAGAGCAGCAAAACAGATGGATAGAGAGAGCACTTTGAAGAGTTCCTGAATAGAAAAGCTACATTGAACACAATGAAACATGAAGCAGCACAGACAGACCATCTTGCAGATGCCCAACCAACAATAGAATAAATCGAAATGGCCACCAAACTAACAAAGGCTGGGAAAGTAGCAGCTCCATTCAATATATCTATGGAAGCACTGAAGTCTGTAAGTCTGAAGACTGCAAAGATGCCCCACACTATTTTCTGAAAGATCTGGTAGAAGGGACAAATACCAGAGGACTGGGAAGAGGGATACCTCATCAATATACCGAAAAGAAGAGATCTGAGCAATTGTGAGAACTACAGAGGGATCACACTACTGTCAGTACCAGGAAAAGTTTTCAACAGTGTTGTTGAACCGAATGAAAGATTCAGTAGATGTCCAACTTCAGAATCAACAGGCTGGATTCTGTAAGGATCAATCGTGTACCGACGAGATGGTCATACTACGGATCATTGTTGAGCAATCAATTGAATAAAACTCATCACTATACATCAACTTCTTTGGCTATGAGAAGGCACTTGACAGTGTGGATGGTAAAACCTCGTGGAGCGTTTCTCGATACTATGGTGTACCTGAGAAGATTGTCACCATCATACAGACTTCTTGTGAAGAACTATGCTGCAAATTCATGCATGGAGGGAAGCTCACAGATGCATTACAAGTGAAGACCAATGTTAGAAAAGGCTCCTTACTCTTTCCTTTTCTGTTTCCTCTAATGGTTAATTAAACCATAAAGACCTCCACAGCTCAGAGAAATTACGGAAAACAGTGGATAGCTTTCACGCAACTAGACGATTCGGACTTCGCAGATGACTTAGTTCTTATATCCCATACACACAGACAAATGCGGGCGAAGACAGTCAATGTAAAACGTCTCTGCAGCATTAGGTCTCAACATACACAAAGGAAAAAGCAAGTTCCTAGAATACGACACACCGAGCAGCGACCTAATCACATTTTGTGGAGGAGCTATGGAAGAGGTGGAAACTTTTACCTAGCTGAACAGTAGCATTGATAAACAAGGAAGATCTGATGCAGATGTAAAGACAAGGATTGGCAAAGCCAGGAGCAGCATTCCTGCAATTGAAGAACATCTAGGACTCAAAAATGACGGTCAGCTAACATCAAAGTACGAATTTTTAATACAAACGCCAAGACAGTTCTACAACACGGAGCTGTGACATGGTAAGCTACCACAACCATCATCAAAAAGGTACAGGTATTTATAAACAGCTGTCTACATAAGATACTTGAGATCCGTTAGCCAGATGCCATCAGCAGCAACCTACTGCGCCGGAGAACAAACCAGCCTCCGACTGAAGACAAAATTAGGAAAAGATGTTGGAAGTGGATAGGTCATAACATTGTGGAAAGTATTAAACTGCATCACAAAGTACGTCCTAATTCGAAACCCTCACGGCATGAGGAAAAGACGCACACCATAAGACATGTTACGCCGAGAATGGGAGGCAGTCATTGACATAATGGACAGCAATTGTCAAAATGTGGAAAGGAGAGCTTAATACAGTGTTGGGTGGAGAGTCCTGATTAACAGCTAATGCACAAACAGGGTCAATATATGTGAATGGCATCCAATTGTGACATCACATCTCGCCTTCTGTACTATATCCTTATTACAATCTTTCTTTTATATGTTACCACCTCTGAATTTACTAATTTTATGAATCCGGTGTCCATCTTGTTGTGCTAATGAGGTATGGCAACTTGGACCGATGCATACATGTGCCTGGTTCTACGTTGTAGCTGACTGACTCGCACAGGCACCGTGAGATAAGATTAGTAGTAAGAATGCCACAGTAAGAAAAATTAGTAACATTATCAGTAGCAGTGTTTCACATTCTTGTAAAACAACCTGATATTCACATCTTGACTGTAATCGTACATGAATTGTGCGTTTTTAAGTTCCTGTTTCGTACATTTACGATACTGTGATTTCGTTTTTTGCAACGAATTTCTTGATACTTTATTGTCGCAAGTATTTCATGGTCTATGAACAGCGTAATAAATAAAACTTCATAAAATCTTATACGGTTGATTAGCATGAGGCATTTAAACGATTTAAAATTTAGCATGAGCGATTACCGCTATATGTGTACACAAATCTAGAATAAAAACTGCTTTCAGTGAGATTTTTCAATGCATAAGTAGTAAATCCTGGTATGTTGTCAGTAATTCTTTTTAAGTGGCTAATTTAAAAGCATTTACTTAACAGAAGATATACTGGGTCAGACTTTTTAAATGTGATTTGCAAACAATCCGCAAATGTTTTGATAGTAATCACGCCGGGTATCATAGATAAGTTGTTCTATTTGTGCCTAATAGCATTCCGTCGTAATACGTGACTTTTTTGTTTCTATTTAAACGTGACACAACATGTGATGTGATAAACTTAATTTCATGTCAAAACTACCTATATATATATATATATATATATATATATATATATATATATATATATATATATATATATATATACAGATGGTTACGCTGAGATTTAAGGAGTACAAAGGTATCGCTTGTTTTGAAAAAAATTGAGCAACTGAAAAATTAACGTTATGTTTAATTATAAACTAGGTTGTATAAATCAGTGAATTTTGATGTCAAACATTTTGATATGCTATTATGGTTTATCCTTTGATAAATGAAAATTAATTCCGTATAGCGCTAGAATTCAAGGAACTGTAAAGAAAGGTTTTATGAAAAACAGAAGTTATGTTGAGTTTATAAATGATCATATACTGTTATACGGGGTTTTCTGAGTTATGCAGTTTGGTAATTAACAGTTGAATCACTGACAATTTTAAAGACTTTTTCCACAGAGATAACAATAATTCATAGAGCACAATATGATCGTAGTAATATCGAAAGACAATAAATCGAGTGGAAAATCCAGAAAGCAATGTTATGCAAGTGTTTTTGCATAAATAATAAATAGTCAATTTACTGATAATTATACATAAAAATTATAACTAAAAGGTTACTTAAAACAAGAACGAATGAAAAGCAGAATCAGTGTTTGTGGTAACAGCATATGGATCTTCATCTAAACATTGACCATGAAGACAGTATGCTAAGCTACTTATAAAATCAACAAAACAGGATCACAAAAATTCGCCACATACAGTGAACTGTTTATATAGTTAGCATACATCTACAGGCGAAACTCAAATGTCATTGCTCAGATGTTATTTAAAATAACAATAGCTTACAGCTATATCACATTTCACAATAATTACTTTCATGCTATAACATGGTGCCTATTTTCATTCCTTGATGTGACTGGTGGTTAGTGTACCAAAGGTTTTAAAATTCGCCCGATTACATTCTAAACTCTTAATAGTTGTTCATTTATAGAAAATAGGGTCATGACTCGTGACTTCCTACATATTCATCATACGCCTAATCACGGAAGATAAACGAAATCGTTTGGATAAGAATTTCCACCCTTCTATTGACTGATAATCACCTCTAAAACAAACAAGATATAAATTTTCATTCATCCAACTAGAATGATGTGCATCACTTTTAAGAGCATATTGCTCACATGCACTGGAAGGCTTATGCGTATACAGAGTCAAGACAATTGCGGACAGCAAATTAATTCGAGAGGAGAATACCAATGTGCAGATACTCAATATATATATATATATATATATATATATATATATATATATATATATATATATATATTGACTAAGAGAATCAGCCGTCATAAGTCGAAGAAACTATTCACCACAAAAACGTGCAAAAGTCTACAATACAACTGTTACAAAATTAATAACTCTTGCTAAATAAACCAGAAATCTAATTAAATAAAGAACCTCTAGTTATTTTAATACGAAAATAGGGGGAAATCACTCTCATTTGACAGGATAAGTTGGTTTTTATTGTCTACATACGACCACTGATCCTGATATAATTAAACATTTAGGAAAAGCTTCTGAAAAAGTCTCACAAAATTTACAAATAGTTACAATCCCTTAAACAATTTACTTTTCTTTCTACTCCCGAATAACACGAACTTATTTATGCGAAATAACAGTAATCAGGTGGTGAACAGTTTAGTCCAGCTAAAAAAAATCAATAGATGTAATTAAGACAATGGTACCTTGGATGCTGACAGTTAATATGATAGACGTAATCCAAAGCTACAGACCCATCCAAATCGTTTAAATCAATAGAATCCATTGTATTGGAATTTGATTTATCATAGACGGTCCCCCCAGTCTTCATCGTTATGTGGATCGGTGATGGAGGCTTGAAAACATCATCCTCACCATTAGTTGACTGAATGTGATTATCGTAAGGAAAACTCTGGGTCGATTCAAGTTGTTCTGCTCGCGGTATTTCTGTTATCTTAGGGATTAAAAAATGTTAGATATTAGAATTGTAATTTAAAATTACACATTATCGTTTACTTACTAGACATTTACAACAAGAAAAGTGTCTAACATTGATGCATAAATTTCATGCAAGTTATAAAAAAATCCACTCAGATTACGGAGAGCACCTGAAGACGAAATCGTCGAACCGAGTAACATATTACCAATTCGCCAGTATAAACTGCTAAGGAGAACTCAGATTACTTACATGTTATCTTTTTTTCTTAAAGAATCATCTTGATAGCATTTTTCTAAATTATATTTCAGTAGTAATCTACAGTTATCAGATTAGTTGTTTATATTACAGTCTGCTAGTTGTCTTATGCATCCCAACGTCAATGAGTGTTAATTTTTAAACGGAGTTGTTGAATTTTTGATTTTCGGTTCGAAAGATAAAGTTGTCCTAAAACGTCCCTTCTCTATTTGGTGCGTGGATCATTAACGTTGAAGTGTTTTTCTTAGACGTCGTCTGTCAACTTCTCATTAGTCTTGTTAGCATTAAAAGATTTTCAAATTACCGTAGGCCCAACCTAAAACCAATCACAATTATATTATAAAACTTAAAATAAACGACCAACCGACAATTGACAAATACTGATAAAAACAAGTTCAAAATCTGCTTCCAGGTTTTAAAGTTCTTTTATTAACGAAGTATATATATATATATATATATATATATATATATATATATATATATACTATCAGCCTTTTTAAACTTCGTAGATGATTGACAGGTTCATTATTATGTTTTTTTAAATACTAAAACAAGTCCGCCTGAGGTTTTTCTAGGGTCAGTAATCTCATTCCGTGAAAAAGAACTTTGCTAAAATACGACAGCCAGAAAAATTCATTTTAATTCTGCTCACGGAGTACAAGGGGCAACATTTAGAAGAGTTATGATGCCTTATGATAAAAGCCGAGATTCTTCAGAAGTCACGAGGCCGATTGTCTTTCTAAAAATCAGAGCAACAATTAACATAGGTACATTGGATGTCGCCACAATGTAGGAGACTGAGAGTACCAGTCAAATTGTCGAGGAAATGAGATAGAACCTGGAAGAGCTTGGAACAAGCAAAAACCGTTAGAAGCAAGCTGGATAGAAAAGATAAGCTTCGACTGAGGTTCTGTTGTACCCTGATCATGAAGAAGAAAATGTCTCGTGTATATTGGTTGTTGCACTGATGTTCTTCAAAGAAACATGAAAAACACGTATAGTATCGGAATCTCATGGATTCAGGATCATCAAAGCATCTTTCAAAACAGCTTTTCTGTCCGAATGTATTCCTGATCTTTTGTTTCGCTTTCTTTCAGCATCACGTTTGCATTGCTTAACCATGGCGTTTCTTCTTACGGCTGAAACAAGTACGCTTTTTTCAAGTTCATGCGTTATACCGAGCACCGTTCATCAGATACTTTGTGATAGTCGTAAACTTGCCAGACAGTTATGTTGCATAAGCAGCACCACAAGTTTAGCACAGAAATGTGAAGTTTCAGTTAGGTGTATGTTCTCCAAGGTCATAATTTCTACGAGGCGCCATTTTTGTACGGATTGTAAGGACCACGAAATCACAATACTGCACTAACATGCAAGCATATTTATTCAGTAGTTAATATATCGGCATGAATATTCTGTTATACGATTTCGCTGATTTTATCTAATTTAAAGGCCTACCTGGGTGGCTTCTCATATGTTAGCCCATGTTGCAAATTATTGATCGTGCTTATATAAATGATGTGAACCTGCTATGTCAGAAATCAGCTTATCCCTGTATTCACTACTACAGTTGACCATGATCCTGTCGGCCTTTTAGGCACATGCAGGTCAGTACGGTACAGTAATAATGAAATCCAGTTTAAAGTAAATCGAAAAATTGAAGATAGAGGTCATTTTAAAACTTTCGATTCACAGAACTAACGAGTGAATCCACCTACATTATCATATTTCTGAACAGTGAACATCAACTCTGGGATAAATGCCCTGGTACGACCGAGAGTGGGGAGAGTCCGCTCTCACACGGCCTCGCGTATATAGCCTCTCCCAGGGAAGTCCTACTCACTGCCTTCTCGTGGCGGGGGTGTTGTTTACGAAAATGAGAGGACGAAAAGCGAATGTCTGGCGCTTTAACCGGATTCCAAACCAATGGTGCATATGGGCTCCAGTATCCTGCGGGAACAAATGGCGTATGAGCCAATTGTCGGTCACCGGCTTCCATGGGACTGCATCTCCTTACGATGCTCCACTGCCTTGTGGATCAGACCTTCAGGTCAAAGGCTCGGGGTGTGGCCCCCTAAGAAAACCACCACCACAGCCTTCACACATATCGAATGAGATTTGTGTGGCGCATATGTATTTGGTGCCTCTTTGAACCAATATCTATGTGTTGAAATAAATAAATAAATGATCCGCACAGGATGCATATATGCCAATAAAAAAAACGATCAATTGCAGTCCTAAACATCAATGGGATGATTCAAACGAACAACATAGTGATAGCTATCGTTTCCAACTACAGAGTACGGTTATCTTTTACACCCCGATTAAAATGTATGGCATATGAAGATAGTATTTGGCTTCAAAAACTGTTGGAATCTCTTGATATCCTCACCTCTGTTCTCATTCTAATCTATTCATCTAGAATTGAACACTTCATATCGATGTTAACATCGATTGGAAGTGCTTAAAACCGATGGGAATCATTCCAGTCAATGGAAATTAACGGCCTTATTGATCAACTTACTAACCCCACTTAACGTTTTACGCCTGACAGTCATACCCGTTTGTAAACAAGCAGTCTTAATGAGAAAAACGAATTAGGCTGAACTGCTTGTGAAACAACACTGTGCCGAAGTCCCATAAATACATAACAATCAACTACGAATAGTTTCACCTGATATAGTAAATATCTCCATAATTTTCTCTAGATTCAATGAACTCATGTTAAAGACAACTTGAAATATATTAAATCTTAATATACAATAAACTGTACAAGATACAGAAGTAGTGGCTTAGTACTTAAGCTATTCCACTTTCGGCCACTAAGTTCCAAGTTCGAACTCTGCTCCATTTCCTCCTGTCCGGACAGCCGGATAATATCATGAGACCTCACACTCTGTATGGCTCATACTCAAGTACCTGGTGAATGAGTTTGTTCAATTTATTTAAGTATTATCAGACAAAAATCACTAACACATTATTAGCAAGTATGTGAAACACATGATTGTAATTCTATAAATTACGGGGTATAGCTGGACCACTACGTCTTCACAATAAGCTAATAAACGTACTTTCTCTTCGAAACATTTTTATACCTATCATATAGTTCGCTATTCCAACAGACAAAAACAACTATTTAGATAACAAAATTTATCGAAAACATATCTCACCTCTTCCACACGAATGGGTCTTTGATCGAAAAACCCTCTTAGATCCTGACGAAAATAGTGGATAAGGCTAGGCCCGAAAGGCCCGGCAGCACGAAGAAAGGATAAAGGATTAAAGGGACGGAACATTTGACGGAAAGTCGAAAATATCCATGCTTGAGCTGCACCTACATTCGACTGATCTTTAACTTTTAAAGGATCCTCGACAAAACCCCAAGGATCTGCTAGGATCAAATGAGCAATCCTAATTAAAAAGAATAAAAAGCATTGACAATTTTCAGTAAGCAAAACCATTATTTTAATGCTATTCATACAACACTCAAGTATTTTTTAAACACAATAAAGTATTTCACAACGTACAAATTTCAAGCTGATACAATATCGAACCTAGAACAATAGTGCACTAGCCCAAGTCTCTATATTTCAAAACAGACATAAAAAAGATAACAGAAACAAGATTAAGTAAAAAAAATAAGTGGGTCTGAAGCAAAGAACGTCAGTAGAGCTGGCCTACTGGTGGTTTAGAGAAGCATTATTACAATTTTACTTAACTCAGATTGGAAACTAATTGTTTCATGAAATGAACCAATTCCAAAGCATAGTAACCCAGTGAACTTCTCTAATATTTTTATTCATTAATAATATTTATGTTCGAGATGGACGAATAGGAATATACTATAAACATTCTGCATCACAATCTTCTTGAATAATTTGAATATTTCATCTGCAGAATTATGTTCATTCAGTGATTTTAACTGTTTGGATAGATAACGTTTTGAAAGTATTCCCTAGATTTAATATCCACGTCTTACAAACACTTAGTAGTTAATCATAACCATTGTATAGTCTAGCATATAGTTGCACAGCAAAATGAAGTTAACAAGCTTAATGCCAAATGAGTCCATATTATAGCAGTAATAATGATAATGAGAACGACTAAACATTAGGAATATGGTTCTAATAAGTATAAAGACAGAATATGAGTCAGTCACAACGTAGAACCTGATACGTATGTACATCGTTTCAAGTCTCCACAAACCACTAGCGCAAAGATTAAATTGTCGGACCAAATCTCAGAAATGTAGAGGTAGTAACAGTACCAGTGGTAATAGGAAGGATTTGGGACTAGAGGTACGACTCGAGAAAATAGAAATTAGTGAAATAAAAAAAAGGAAATTTAGAATCTCAGAATTTCGGGGAAGACAAAGAGTGGATGTATTTGCGTCACTGCAAACGGTCGTGAGCTATGTCATTCAAAGTGTCTAACCACTGATCACGATAATCAAGCGGAAGGGAAACTTAAATTCAAGATCTCGAGGAAGATAAACAGTAAGTGCATTTGGGCTAGTGTGACTGGTTCTCAGCTGTTACTCGACATCTACAATTGATGATTGCGGCTACCTCGTAGAACTCGATCAGGTAGTCTGAACTTACCAACAGTTATTTCATGAATTGATGCCAAGTCTTGATTTAGACGTCCCTATGTTTATTACAACCGACTCCCATGTTAACCAGCGTTGCGTGTCAGGGTATGAGGTGGTTGGGTAAATATAACACGTTTCAACCATCCCGATCGGTAGATTTAGTCTGATTGCTTGATTTCCCATAATCACCTAGTACCACATATCTCACTTGATTGTTCCTCCATACGCGAGGAAGATACTTATGATCAAACACTTATATCTTATATAAGGCTTCTACATTTATAAACCGTGTTTCTCACGGTTAAGGTGTACGTGTATTTTTGGACTTACAAATCGCAAATCATAACTCCACCTGTAGCTCTTCTATAGCGAATGCCAGTCTAAAGCCTACAACAAGGAGAAGGGTTGTGCGTGGGGTCGGCAACCACATCCCGTAGAAAACAATCTTGCTAAAAAACGCCGATCAGATTAAACAAATTGAACCATTAAAGCTCTGTCCTCCGAGTTGAAGGGAGAATTATGATGCCTCAGGATGAAAGCCGAGATTCTTCGGAGGTCATGAAACCGATGTCCCTTCTAACAAATAGGACAACAAGGTATACGGAACGTCCGGACAATGTGGGGGACCGGGCGGACCAACCAAATAGCTGTGGAAATGAGGAGGCACAACTTGACGATGCCCAGAATAAGTGAAGCACATTGGACCCAAGCTGAACAGCTAAGGCTAGATACGGGAGAGATGCTACTGCACTCCGATCACGAAGAGGTAATAGCTCCACACACCCAGGGAGTTGCTCTGATGTTGTACAAAGAAGCACAAAATCCACATGTACGACGGGAATCTCATGAATTCATGATCACCAAAGCATCCTTCAAAAAAAGAATGGAATCACCATGAGTGAAATCCGGTGTTGTGCACCCACCAAAGGAAGCAACAACAACAATAAAGATCAGTTCTATGAGAGGCTGCAATCAATCATAGCTAAGTGCCCAGGAAAAGACCTGATCATCCTAATGGGAAACCTAAACGCCAAAATTGGAATGGACAACACTGGATATAAAGATATCACGGGATGACATGGACTGTGAGAAAGCAACAAAAATGGTGAGACATTTGCAAATTTATGTGAATTTCAAAATCGTTATAGGCGGCACAATATTACGAAACAAACACATACACACAGCCACATGATCCACACCGGATCAAGCCACGGAGAACCAGATCGATCATATTTGCTCCACTCAAAAATTCAGAGAGACAATGGAACACGTGGGAACCGGGAGAGGAGCTGACGCAGCTTCAGATCACCACCTAGTTGTGGCCGAGATGAAACCGAAACTAAAGAAACCCTGGACAGCTGGAGAAACAGCAGTGGTGGGGAAGATTTGTAACCCAGGTGGATGATTTTGGTGGAGTTTTGTTCTCTGAGCTGGATGGTTTGGTCGTGGAGCTTTCATCGTTCTTCTGAACGACATCATCAGCACAAACTTCAGATAGAAGTGAAGTGTTTGAATTTCTCCATATGTGTCTCAAAGCTTGTTCTGTGCACCTCGACGTTGATTGGTTCTTATTGACCTTAAATTTGTCGTTGTTTACTTCTTTGTTTTGGTTGTGTCTCCCATTGTTTTGATTTTCGTTCTTATGTTTGTGCATGATTTTTCTGATTGGTTGATAAATTGGATTGATTTCAATATGTTTGTTGATTGCTGATTGACCTGAGTGCCAGGCTTCTAAAAATTCTCTGGTGTTTTTGGAGTTTCCTCTGTCTAAGATTTCCACATTTTTCCAATCGAATGAGTGTCCGCAGTTGTCCACGTGTATTGATATAAGTGAAGAGATATCATGCCGTTTGACTGCTAATTGATGTTCATGTAGGCGAAGGTGAAGGGGGCGTCCGCTTTGTCCGATGTAGTGTTTTTCGCAGTTGGCACAATTTATTTTGTAGATGATGTTTGATTTGTTTTCCTTTGTTACTTCATCTTTTGGCTTGCATAAGATTGATTGTAGTGATTTTGTCGGTTTGTGTGCCACACCTATTCCGAAGGTTTTCAGCATTCTCGTCGCGGTTTCTGATATTCCTTGTATATATGGTAGGGTGATCCTTTTGTTGATTTTTGTGCTTGACTTGGGTTCTAATGCTGCGTGCGGTTGGTATTTTTTGATGAAGTTGATGGGGTAGTCGTTCTTCTGAAGAAGACACAACCAAAACAAAGAAGTAAACAACGACAAATTTAAGGTCAATAAGAACCAATCAACGTCGAGGTGCACAGAACAAGCTTTGAGACACATATGGAGAAATTCAAACACTTCACTTCTATCTGAAGTTTGTGCTGATGATGTCGTTCAGAAGAACGATGAAAGCTCCACGACCAAACCATCCAGCTCAGAGAACAAAACTCCACCAGAAACAGCAGTACAAAGGTTCAATACAGCCTACCTTTGACATACTGACAAACTCAACAAATTCAAGATCATTCTTAACAATTGGTTCCAAGCCTTACAAGATCTACTCAAATAATGAGAAGAAACTACTGTGGAGAACAACTGTGAAGGGATCAAAGAAGCATTAACTTCAACGTGTCAGGAGGTTTTGAGCCGAAAGAAGCATCATCATAAGTAATGGATCTTTATGGAAACCCTAGACAAGGTTCAGGTAAGGAAGAAAAAAAAGACTGCAATAAACAACAGCAGAATAAAAGCAGAGAAAGTCAAGGCACAAGCTGAATGCACAGGAGTAAACAAGCAAGTGAAGAGGAGCATTAGGGCCGACAAGCGGAAATATGTAGGAGACATAGTAACAACGGCGGAAAAAGCTGAAAGAGAAGGGAATATGACACGGCCATATGACACAACGAAAAAACTAGCAGGGAGATTTAGTAAACCAGAGAGACCAGTCAAGGACAAAGGAGAAAAACAAGTCACCGAGATTCAAGAACAGACGGGTGGAATACTTCGAGGAACTCTTGAATAGACCAGCCCAACTGAACCCTCTGGACATGGAAGCAGCACACACAGACATTCCCATAGATGTCACTCCACCAATGACGGAAGAAATCAGCAAATCAAACAAATCAAAGGGTGAGAAAGCAGTAGGACCTAACAACATACCGACTGAAGTAATGAATTCAGACATGCAAGTAACTGCAAGTATGCTCCACGTTCTATTTAGAAAGATTTGGGAGGACGAACATGTACCGATAGACTGGATGGAACGACACCTCATCATAATACCAAAGAAAGATCTGAGCAAATGTCAAAACTATAGAGGTATCACACTACTATCTATGACAGGAAAAGTTTTTAACAGAGTATTGCTCAGCCGGATGATTTTATTTATTTATTTCAACACATAGATATTGGTTCAAAGAGGCACCAAATACATATGCGCCACACAAATTTCATTCGATATGTGTGTGAGGGCTGTGATACTGCCCGGGTGCCCAAACCGAAGCAGGTGGTTATCTTAGGGGGCCACTCCCCGAGCCTTTAACCTGAGGGTCTGATCCACAAGGCAGTGGAGCATCGTAAGGAGATGCAGTCCCATGGAAGCCGGTGACCAACAATTGGCTCATACGCCATTTGTTCCCGCAGGATACTAGAGCCCATATGCACCATTGGTTTGGAATCCGGTTAAAGCGCCAGACATTCGCTTTTCGTCCTCTCATTTTCGTAAACAACACCCCCGCCACGAGAAGGCAGTGAGTAGGACTTCCCTGGCAGAGCCTACATACGCGAGGCCGTTAAAGAGGATTTCGAGAGGGAGAGCGGACTCTCCCCACTCTCGGCCGTACCAGGGCATTTGGGGGCTGTAGACGACCA